TGCTGCCCTCAAGAATCTCCAAAGGGCCCCCCTGAAGCCCCACTAGAAGCTCCTTCTACTGCAGGACTATATCCTGCCCAAGTTCCTGTACTCGCTGCAAAACCCTAGAATCGACCTCCGCATCTTGGATCGAGCTGACAAGGCGGTGCGGCGTATGGTGAAGGAGGCCCTCCATCTTCCACTCCAGACGGCCAATGCTCTCCTGTACTCCCGCAGGAGAGATGGCGGTCTCGGCCTGATGTGCCTCACGGCGCGAATTCCGGATGTTCTATTAGGCCGCATCAATCGCCTGACGACTCTCGATTACCCACATATTCAAGCTACCCTTGGGACCGATTACGTCACATCTCTGAGATCCCGCCTAAGTCGTCTCATCCGTGCATATGGAAGTGGAGGATAGCAATTCACCTACTGGCGGCATCGCCTCAACAATGCCCTGAGCGGAGCTGGTCTACCCGAGCACTGCGGACATCCTGCTACCCACAAATGGCTGCGCGACCCCCCTCCCTCCTGGACAGGAAGGGACTACATCCTGGCCGCGCAACTCAGGACTAACACCCTCCCCACCATCGGAGGCTTACACAACACCCGCTTGCCCCTAGCAGCTAAACGATGTCGTGGTGGCTGTCGGCGCGTCGAAACTGTTTCCCTGTCCTGCAGCGCTGTCCCATCACCCATCACCAGCGCATTGATCGTCATGACCATGCTGTCCATACTTTAGCCAGGGCTTGCATCTCCAAAGGCCACCCCACCGAGATAGAGCCCTCCATACGCGGCACTGATGGCCGACTGTACAAGCCAAACCTGGTCGTGCAGTCTGACACCATCCACATCATAGACGTCAGCGTCAATTGGGAGACCCCCAGACCTTTTTCTGACCACTACTACAACAAAGTGACCACTTATTCCACCCCTGGCGGCCTTCTGGACTCCTTGAGGAGGCGTTATCCATGTCTCCCCATCCACGTCTCCGCCATCGTCATCGGCGCTAGGGGCTCCTGGTGTCATCTAAATGACGCTACCATTCAACGTCTTCGCCTTGGGAAAGATGTCGCTGTTTCCCTCATCTCCGGTGTTCTGCATGGAGGCACCATTATCCACCGCTCGTTCAGCGCTGCTGTATGGGCCCCGATCGCCCCCCCCCTGAAGTCACGCCGCCTTTTGCACTTTCCACCTACTCGCCCCCCGGATAGTCCTGTGTTCTTCGGATCTACATTCTGTCTTATATGTCTGTTATTTTGTTCTGTTTCTTTCTCTATTTGAATTCTATCGAGACAAATAAATAAACCTGACATATTTACTTTATACATACATACATGCATACGATTAACTTGTACTAACATCTACATTTGTAATGGGTAATACCCAAAAAGTTTATTGTATCTTGATCAATAAATGTTTCTCTAGCCATCTAAGTGCTGGCGATTTTTGCACATACCATCTCAGACCCCTAACGCCCTCCTATATGCCCGCAGGAAGGACGGTGGATTGGGCCTAATGTGCCTGTCCGCCAGAATTCCTGACATTCTTCTGGGCCGCATCAACCGGCTCACAGCCGTCGATGACCCACAAATTGCTGTTGTCCTGGACTGCCCATTCACAACTTCTCTAACGGCGCGTTTGAACCATATGTCATCCTCTTATGGTTTCGGCGCCCAACAAGCCGCCTTTTGGCGCCAACGGCTTGAAACTTCGTATAGCGGTGCGGGGTTTACGGGACATTGCCAGAATCCAGTGATCTACTCGTGGATGCGCGATCCACCCCCGTCGTGGTCTGGTCGCGATTATGTCCTGGCAATGCAGCTGCGAACGAATACGCTTCCGACCATCGGTGGGCTGCACAATGTGCGGCTGCCGCGTAACGCTCGTGGTTGTCGCGGTGGATGCCACCGCATCGAGACTTTGTCACACGTTTTACAACGATGCCCCGCGACGCATTTCGATCGCATTGTCAGGCATGACCACGTCGTTCGGGCCCTCGCGCGTGCCTGTACCAACAAAGGACTTCCCACCACCATCGAGCCCTGTTTCCGTGAGACAGACGGCCGTTTATACAAGCCCGATTTATTCATACACGGGGAAACTCTACACATAATAGACGTGAGTGTTAACTGGGAGACTCCTCGCCCTCTCATTGACCACTACGATAATAAACTCGCGACGTACTCCACACCCGGACTCATTCAGTCCATCAGAACTCGTTATCCTGGCTCCCCCATCTTCGTTAGTGCCCTGGTCGTCGATGCGCGCGGCACCTGGTGCTCCGCCAATGACTTGGTCATGCGTCGCCTTGGATTGGGAAGCCTAGTGGGCCGAAGCCTCGTATCGGGAGTGCTCCGTGGCGGAACGTTGATCCACCGCGCATTCAGTGCCGCGGTGTGGGCCCCAGAGGGCCGTTGAGTGTCGGTCCGTCCGGTGTCGTTCGTTCTGTGTTGGTGTCGGGTCGTGTTAGCCTTAGTTGTTTAGTTAAGTCCTTTATTTTTAATTTGTAGTTTGTCTATTGTTGCATGTTCGTCATTTTATCATCTCTGTATTATTTAATTGTATTATTTTTGACCATCTTTTAAATTTTCGCATGGCTCCGGGGCTTGCAGGTTGCGAGAACGCATGTGAACTTGTTCATTTCTTTTAATTTGTTCGTGGTTCTGGTCGCCTAGCCCTTGCGCCATGCGTGACTTCATACTTTGTGTTATTTACTTTAAGACTGTCTCTGTATTTTATTTATACCTATGTATTTACTTTTATGATGACGATCCTTGATCCATGTAACTGACTATGACTTTGTACTGGGGCAATACCCAAAAAGTTTATTGTTTATTACCTATCAATAAATGTTTTATTAGCCATTCTCCAGCGGTGTCCGTCGACTCACCACCAGAGGATCGCCAGGCATGACCACGCGGTGCTCGTTCTAGCCCGCGCGTGTCGCGATAAAGGGCTTTTCACGTCTATTGAGCCGTGTGTGCGTGGCACGGATGGTCGATTGTATAAGCCGGACCTCATAGTCCACACCGACTCTGGCATCAACATCATAGACATTAGTATCAATTGGGAGACCCCTTTGCCTCTTCACGTCCATTACACCAATAAGGTCGCGGTATACTCTAAACCGGGTTTTCTTCAGTCCGTTAGAGACCGGTTTCCGGGTCTGTCGGTGACGGCTGGAGCTATCGTCGTTGGTGCGCGTGGTACTTGGTGTTCTCTGAACGACCACGTGCTCAATCGCCTTAGGCTGGGCTATCTGACGGCGATGAGTCTGGTTTCGGGTGTGTTACATGGCGGCACCCACATTCACCGAGCCTTCAGTGCGTCGGTTTGGGCTCCACCTGTCTAGTGTCGGTGCGCGTACGGTGTTGTGCGGCGATGCAGTGCGGCCAATAGCGCTTTTATGTCGGGTTTTATTATGTTAGGTTGAATAGAGTTTGTATTTGTGCAGGGTCATGCACCGTCTTTTATTTCACAGAATGGCGCGCTTGCCGGTTCACATGTCCCAGCGGGGTTTCCGGTCCCTCGATGGGACTATGGCAAACTCCCTTCTTCTGCAGGCTGTCGTTAAATCTTGCCGCCGCGCCATACGACCGTACACCATCGCCTCTTTGGATCTTAAGAAGGCCTTCGACTCTGTCTCACATCATTCCATCGAGCGTGCCCTCAGGAGGTTCGGTGTCGACTTTCGTCTGTCGAGATTCATCATGGAGGGTTGACCGGTTGTGACACCGTCATCTCTGCCCCCGGTGCTCAAATAGGCCCTATTTCTATCCGTCGGGGGGTGAAGCAGGGGGATCCCCTCTCCCCTCTGCTGTTTAATCTTGTGCTCGACGAGCTGATAGAGCGTATTGCTGCCCTTCCTGCTGGCATCTCCGTTGGCGACGTTAGGATATCCACTTTAGCCTACGCCGACGATCTCCTGATGTTGGCTTCGTCTTCCACCGATATGAGGTTCATCCTCGACACCGCGGTGCGATTTTTCGAGGCCCGACATCTGGAATTGAATCCTAACAAATGTTCCGGGCTGGTCGTGAAGGCCTTACCTGCCATGAAAAAAATTTATCTTGCTGTCCACTCTCGATTGCGCGTCAGGGGGACTCTTATTCCCGGCGTTGATGCGGAGGGTTCTTTCAAATACTTGGGTCATAAATATGGTTTTATGGGGGTCGACTCGCCATCCTGCGACGTCCTTCCTGTTTTCCGCATTGCAAAACTTGTCCCGTGAATGAAAAATACCAGAAAGCTTTTGCAGATTTAGCACATCATTGTAATATAACGCAAAATGCAAATGTTATTGAACAATTTGTTTGTGAAATGTATAGCATTCAAAAAAATAAATTGAGGAACGTTAAATCAGTGAACGACGCTCGATTTAGATTATTCATCCAGCAATACAGCATGGTAGACAATATGGAGGTATTTAAAAAATAATATCTTTCGATGCTTCGTCGGAAATCTGTGGATAAATGCTTACAAGAACATTCCTTCAACATTAGATCCAACTGACTATGGATGGACTTTGACTGATAATGGGGAGTTTACGTTCGAATGGTTCGAGGGTCCTGAAAACCCGGAAAACATCAAGGACATTATAATATCAGATGAAAAAGAACAAGGTAATAATAAACTATTATAACTATATTAATTTCGATTATTTTTAAAAGTTTCGAAAATAAAAAAAAATTTTTCAAGNACCAGAAAGCTTTTGCAGATTTAGCACATCATTGTAATATAACGCAAAATGCAAATGTTATTGAACAATTTGTTTGTGAAATGTATAGCACTCAAAAAAATAAATTGAGGAACGTTAAATCAGTGAACGACGCTCGATTTAGATTATTCATCCAGCAATATAGCATGGTAGACAATATGGAGGTATTTAAAAAAAATAATATCTTTCGATGCTTCGAATCTGCCACCATGTTCAAGGGAATTAGAACAGCAAATACAAGAACATTCCTTCAACATTAGATCCAGCTGACTATGGATGGACTTTGACTGATGATGGGGTTTTTATGTTCAAATGGTTCGAGGGTCGTGAAACCCCGGAAAACATCAAGGACATTATAATATCAGATGAAAAAGAACAAGGTAATAATAAACTATTATAACTATATTAATTTCGATTATTTTTAAGTTTCGAAAACAAAAAAAAAATATATTTCAAGTATCTAATAAAAATGAAATGAAATTCAATAAAACGAATATTTAAGTTATATTGTCATTTCAACTAAAACATGAAAAATATTTGCTATTTTAAGAATATTGATTATTTTTACTGTAGGAAAACATGAAAAACATAAAACAACAAGTTGAAAAATGCTTTCAAACTCAATAAACATTATAAAGAATTTTCTGAACTTACTTGACATTTCTTTGTACTTTATAACAAAAATTGATTATGAAATTCGATAAATTATTAATTTTCAAGTCATCGACAAATGATGGAAACGCATCCCAGGAGCCCGAAATTTCCAATGATGAAATTGACAAGAATGATTATTGTGACCACGACGATGAAGATGATGATGATGATGACGATGATGATGATGATGAGGCAGAAAGTGACGATTGTGCAGACCTTAACACCAATGAAACATATGAAGATTCAAGCGATTAATAGTTCTTAATTTACATTATTCCATACGAACTTATTTACATTATTCCATATTCATTAAATAAATGGCAGACTGTAAAAAGGTTATCAGAGTAGCCTTTTATATTTCGTGTGAAATAAAATTTATAAATTTTTTAATTTCATCACTTCATTCTTATTTTTTCCTACTTAATAAAATAGAGTTTAGAGTGCTTGTTTGTATTTTGTATGAGATTGGACATGAGGAAATTATTAAAACAATTTTTTTATAGAATATTCAAATATTTATGCTTTCATAATTTGCCTATAATATCATTCTTTTGTCTCTAATAATTAAATAATGCAGGGAAAAAGTGGCAGACTAAAAAATTGTTTCATTTGTCGCAAAGAGACAGGATTTAATTTTTGAAAAAAAAAAAAGATTTTTTATGCATAGTATTGACACTTGTTTAATCATTCATCGTCTGCTATTCAATATTTAGTATATTTAATATATGAATAATGCAAGGAAAAAATGGCAGACTTGAAAAAATTGTTCCGAGTTATTGAAAAAAAATTGCTAATTGACAAATACGTTAGTAATATTTATATCACTGTAAATCGGCTGCCTTGTGATGTTTCNGAAAGCTATAGTTCCTTAAAGAGTGCACTATTAAACAATACCTTTACAGTAAATTCATTAAAATTCCTTAATTAATAGAGTATATATTGCCTTTAACATCATTTTTAAAACTTTAAATGCATCTCCTGCAAAATCAAGTTTTTGGACTTGGCATAGTTTGGCTCTATATATATATATATCGCTTACTGAATGCAGAACTAGCTTATGTCCATTTTTTGTTAACTTGGGTTTACAAGCCTATCTTAGAGGTCCGCGCATGCCGATATTTGCTGCAGAACTAGCCTAACTTCAATCCGCGGCATCCCCTCCAACCAAATTTCTGACCAACTAGCCTAACTCAAAAGGGTCGCGTCAATTCAGTGCAGAACTATGCTTTGTCGGTGGCACATCGCAAGTCCTCGTGAATTGNAAGTTGAACTGCGTCTGCCTACATTTCAATATATATGAATTCGTATGCCAATAGTTTTATATAGAATATTTATTGTCAAAGTTGATAATTATTCAAGAGGCAGACTTGAAAAAATTGTTCCGAGTTATTGTAACAAAAATGCTAATTGACAAATCGCTTATTGAATGCAGAACTAGCTTATGTCCATTTTTTGTTAATTTGGGTTTACAAGCCTATCTTAGAGGTCCGCGCATGCCGAATTTTGCTGCAGAACTAGCCTAACTTCAATCCACGGCATCCCCTCCAACCAAATTTCTGACCAACTAGCCTAACTCAAAAGGGTCGCGTCAATTCAGTGCAGAACTATGCTTTGTCGGTGGCACATCGCTAGTCCTCGTGAATTGTGGACATAGATTAGTTCTGCATCATAATTATTAAAATATAATATCCCAAGTTTAAATTAATTGTGGACATAGGTTTGTTCTGCATTGTGTGGTATAAGGATATACCCATCATATTTTTTTGTATGCAACATTCGCAATGAGTTCTAGAACCGCGAAAATAATGCAAATGATCGGCAATCAAAAATCTGAAGAGGCCCATCAGAAAACAGGTAAGAAAAAAATGAATTTTGCGNTGCAGGGAAAAAGTGGCAGACTAAAAAATTGTTTCATTTGTCACAAAGAGACAGGATTAAATTTTTGAAAAAAAAAAGATTTTTTATGCATAGTATTGACACTTGCATATTAGGATATTGACACCATCATTTGAAGAGCATGCTTTTATGAATAGGAAAGGTTTTCATTCCCTAAATGTACAAATTGTAAGTAAATCAGGAATAAAAAATAATATCTATACAGTTCTGCAATATAATACATATTAGCCAATTTCTAAACAAGGACACAAGCTATTAGTAATGAGAATAAAATAAGTATAGTTACCCACAACATTTGAAGGGCAAAATTTACTTTAAAAAAGTTTTTTCTATATTCCAATTCGAAACCTCAGTACCTACTTGAGATACAAGCCTAGCATTTTTTTAAATGAATTGTCAGGGTCTTGAATAAACTTGAGTTTAATAACCTTAATATTAGATATCCTACCGTTACTGTGTTTCAGAATACTAATTTGTTGTTATTGTTTTTCCTTTATAATATATTGTACGATATAATATGTATGTTTTTTTTTGTTTCAGATATGTGATGCAAATCTACAAATTTTGTTAATTATTAACACTCGCCATGGTGGAGCTAATCATGATGCTTTTATATGGCGAACATCATTAATTAATGATTATTTGCAAAGACAGTACCAAGAAGGGGAAAGAGGTTGTTGGCTAATTGGCGATTCAGGCTATCCGATTCAACCGTGGTTGATGACACCAATATTAGGTGCCGAGGCAAACACTCCTGAAGGTAGATTCACACGAGGTGTCAGGGTGGTTTCAGAGCAGAAGGGAACGGATGATTGTGGCCGGGGATTTCAATGCCAAGAATGCAATGTGGGGTGGTGAGGTGACGGATGCGAGAGGTGAAGAAATTCACGAATGGAGGGTGGAGAATGAACCGGGAGATCCTCCCAGCTTTTACTCCAACCGGGGTGCCAGCTGGGTGGATCTCGTGTTGAGCAAGGATGTAAGAGTGAATGGGAGGACGGTGGATGAATGGGATGACTCGCTCAGCGATCATCGGTATGTAAGTTTTGAGTTGGAGGTGGATGTAAGGAGGAGTGCGAGTAGGAGAGAGAGCTACGAGGTGTACGGAGCTGATTGGGTAAGGTTTGAAAGGGAAGTGAATGAGAGATGGACGAGAGGGAGACCGGATCTGGGGCGCCTGAGCGCGGAGGAGCAGGGCGAGCTCCTCCAGGAGGTGTGCGAAGAGGCTTGCGGAGCGGTTTTGAGAAAGAGGAACAGAAGGCGGAGGATTGAGAGATTGGTGGACGGGCGATTTAGAGAGGGAAAGAAGGAGAGTTGGGAGGGCTAGGGGAGATGATACGACAGTCTTTAGAATCAGATATTTAGAAATCAGAAACGAGTACAAGAAAAACATCAAAGAGGCATAATTTAGTAATTTGGATAGGGAATTGAAAAGTATGGAAAATAAAGTTTCTAGTTAGGGTCTTTAAATCATTAAGTTGGCAACATTGATTCCTCGGAAGGTAGAAACCTTCCGAAGAATATTAGTCGGAACGTGCCCTTCGTCTGTGTACCTTGCAGTTACAAGAGAAACGACAAACCGGCGCTTATTTATGACAGCACGTGTGATTCGAAAAAATAAATATATTGCCATCAAATAAAATGGAAGAGACTTCTCAAGGTAGGTAAAGTATAGAAAAAAATGTCTTAATACCAGTAATTTATCTAAAATATTGCTAGAGATAAATATTTTAATGCATTATTTACGTATTACATATTAAAGTTTATATATTCTGTCATATTCGGCCATGTAACCTATGCAAATTGTAGTTAAAAGTCTTGTCTATAAAATACAACAAAATTCAGCTGCGCATTTTTGCGCCATTTTTTATGCGATTATTTATAATAAAATAAATATATGTTTTTTGAAAGAGTTATTAAAAATCAATCAAAACAAGCTATTAAAAACGGAGAGAAAGAAATAAATATGTAAATTATACCGATATTGATTATCGACTTCGATATGCAAGAAAAAATTGTCGCCAAAAACTATGGAAGATGTGATATACAAATTTTTGATTTCATATGATCCCTATGTTTCTAGTTGCCAAAGTTGTCCACTAAACCACTAAAATCGTTGTAGATAAAAGTTCTAGATTTATTATCACCTCCATCTGCATCTATAAATAATGAAGAATAAGGTGAAGAAGATGTAGAAAGTACATCTGCCTCTGAGTCAAGTACAGATGTTTGTGACTCCGACGAAGACGATAATTTTTTATTGTAACTTATATGCTATAAAATATTTGTTAAATGTTCAATTTTTATGTATTTACTTAAGTTTATTTATGTAAAAACATCCTAAAAATAAAATTGTTTAAATGTAAATTTCATGAATTTTTAACGTTTTTCTGGTATACAAGATGGCCATATTGGATATGCTATTGTGGATTTTTGATTTCTGACAACGGATTTGAACTCAGCGACCCCAAAAACCCCCGAAAACCGTATTTCAGATTATTTTCTTAATTTTTTTACTCTTGGTCAGGTTATAGGACAATCAAGGTAGCCATATTGGATCCGCCATTTTGAATTTTTGATTTCTGACAACGGATTTGAACTCAGCGAACCCAAAAGCCCCCGAATACCAAATTTCATATTTTTTTCTCAATTTATCGATTTTTGGCCAGGTTTTTGGCTGGTGGTGGTCCCACTGTGGGTCGCCTTTACAGGCCTGACCTTATGGTTCAGACTGATTCCATTAATATAATCGACGTGAGCATCAATTGGGAAACTCCCCGCCCCCTTCATGCCCATTATACAAATAAAGTGGCTATTTACTCTGCCCCCGGTCTCCTTCAAACCATCAGGAACCGGTTTCCTGGTCGGGCTGTTTTTATTAGTGCCATCGTCATCGGTGCTCGGGGTTCCTGGTGCTCCCTTGACGACAGCGTCCTTCGTCGCCTTAGGCTGGACAGTCTGACCGCGATGAGTTTAATGTCGGGTGTGCTGCATGGCGGCACGCTCATCCATCGTTCATTCAGTGCGGCCGTGTGGGCTCCTTCGGGATAGTGTTAGCGATAGTGTTTGTGCGGCTGTGTCCGTGGTTCATGTCGGGTTATCTTGTAGTTAGTTTTATTTCTGGCCTAGCGTTGTTTAATTTTTTCCTATTATTAGTTTAAGTCGTTAGTTTAAATCCATGAGTGTTGTTTGAGCGTTTGCTTGTGTGCTGTTCGTTGTGAATGATTGTGCATGAGGTGTGTGGTTGGTGTTGAATGCTGGTTGTTTGCCTTTGTTGCTGGTTGCGAATGCATGCATGCATGATGCTTATTACCCGGTTGTTTGTAATTTACCTTATTGTATTTATTGTTTAATGTATTGTTTTGACTTTGTTAACATTTAGTGACTTTTA